CTGATACTTATGTTTATATACCGAACTTAGATAATATCGTAATCCCACTCCAAAATATCTGTTGGGTTTCTGTAAATCAATTTCTATCTTCATTCAATTTGCCGATTTACACAAGTACTATATGCTACCTGTCACATTAATTAAGTGAATGTAATATATATATATTACATTCGCTTAATTAATGTGACAGGTACAGTATATCTGTTGGGTTTCTGTAAATCAATTTCTATCTTCATTCAATTTGCCGATTTACACAAGTACTATATGCTACCTGTCACATTAATTAAGTGAATGTAATATATATATATTACATTCACTTAATTAATGTGACAGGTAGCATATAGTACTTGTGTAAATCGGCAAATTGAATGAAGATAGAAATTGATTTACAGAAACCCAACAGATATTTTGGAGTGGGATTACGATATTATCTAAGTTCGGTATATAAACATAAGTATCAGGTTTCGTAGCTATTGGTGAAACGACCTAGGAGTGTATAGCGAACAAACAAACAAACAAACATTTTCATTTATATATATATATATATATATATATATACTGTATATATATATATCAATTAATCAATAAATAATTCATTGTCATTTAAATTTTTATTTTTACAGAAATTGTTGGTTTGAATCTTTGATTTAAAAAATAATTTATATTTAATAGAAGAAATTATAAAGTATTAATAGCCAGGTTTAGTTTTTACATCTTTTCTGTGTAAACGAAAGTTATATTTTCATACAATTCTTTCAGAGCACATTGCAATTCCATGCAATGATCATGGTCTCTAGTTTCACATACAATAGACACCTGTTATTACAAAAAATAATAATAATAAATATTTAAATATCTTCAATTTTGTACGAATATCTGAAGTAAAAAATCCAGATTACCTCTTTTGTAAGAAACTCTGCATTATATTCATCGCCATAATAGACATGTCTGATTCTGAAAGACAAAACGCTTTTATTAGGTGATGTATATTTTGAAGATGGAAATAATTTTTACATCAGAATATTATACTTGGCTCCTAATTTTAATACATGTTCGATTGGTTCGGAAAGATTTGTTTCTCTCGGCAACGTAATTTGTAATTTAACAATTCTGTTCTCAAATATCAATCCATATTCCAAACAATAATTCAAAACTGTGATATCTATATTACCGCCAGTTAACAGAATCACGACTCTAAATTTAAAGTGTGATTGACGTTAATTGTAATTTTCAAAAAATTAAAACACAGAATTTTATTTACTTCTTTTTGGCTAATTCTGGTAATTGACCAGCTAAGATGGCGGCCAAACCGCAGGCTCCAGCTCCTTCAACTACGGATTTTTCTATCTGTACTAATCGATAAATCGCTAATGCTATCTCTTCTTCTCTGGGAAATGAAATATAAGATAACTTTATCATTTTCACCAAAGAAAAATTTAATTTTTTTTTTCAGAAAATTTAAAATGTTTTTAATTAGAATACGTAACATCATCTGTATACACATAAAATATAAAATTTATGGAAGTGAATTTGATCCGTAAAAATTAAATTGCCATTTTATCAAATTTATTTATTTTTCTTATAAAACTTATTTTTATATCTAGAACTTCAAGGCTTTATGTATACAGTCGACAAATTGTTGAAATACGTTTTATAGTTGTGTTCGTTTTCAAATGCAGGTGTGTACACAGGCGACGTGACAAAACTATGTTTCAACCAACGAGCTAGAATATACTACATAGAGTGGCTGAAGCGACGCCATGTTTGAATATACGTTTGCCATTTTTCTTTTAGTCAAGGGATGTGGCATTTATGTTGTGTAAAGGCAACAAACTAGAATATTCTAACTCGTTCTGAAAAACTGTGCAAAGGAAAGAAAGAGTTTTAACCCTTAACTGAGATGATGCAAGTCAAAATGACCCTACTTACAACAGTCGTTCAAGGTTAAACGAGACTTTTGGTTCTATAATTTTGAAAAGTAATTGTAGCACGATAAAACCCAAAGAGGGAGGAGTAGCATTATCCATCCCAAGACTTCGGTAGCATACATGACACATTTTGCGCATGAGAAGCAGTTTTAGCAATCATAGCAGAAGGTAATATGTCCGCAACGGTGGAACAGCGGTGCGTAATCAGATTTCTCGTGAAGGAAAAGCTTAAACCTGGGCCGTGTTTAGTAACGCAGAACACCTATGTTAGAATTCTTAGTGGCTTAGTGTGTGGAGCTAAGAATGTTCTGAGCATCATTGAATGGCTATTCTTGGTTAGACAACTAGGCAAAATGGTGGACGAAGTTAAAATTATGATCGCAACAATTGTTGCAAACGAAATGGTCGAGAAGGATGAAGTAACCAATAAATTATTCAAATGGAAGCTGCGTCAGATCGTGATGAAATTAATAAAGCAATTATTAACTGTAATCAACGAAATGGACCGCTATATTCCGTTAAAATATATTCGGAATCTGTTATACCGACATATGATAATTTTACATTTCGAAGTCATTTTAGAGTGAGAGAATAACTTTGTGATTCTTATAATAAAATACGTTTAGCCATCTTAATACGAGCAGCCATCTTGCAAATCGTACGGCAAGACAAAAACAATGACATCACTGGTAGAAGTTAGCATAGATAAAAGATGCTGACTGAACTAGCTAGAATTCTAGTGGTGGGAGGGGTCAAGCAGTTGTTAGAAACGAGTTCAATACATCGCAGCATAACTAGCAAGAATTGCAAGACTTAGCAAGAATTCTACGTTACTGAACACGGCCCTGCTGAAATTTTGATAAGATTGAATGCACAGTATGGGGAACAAATGCTATCGCCGGCAAGAATGTACGAATGGTGCCGACAATTTGGTGCAGGATGAGAGCTGGTGACAAATGAAGCACATAGACGTACGTATTCGTCCAACTGCAGTAACGCCAGTGAATATTGCACGAGTTGAGCAAGTTATCCTAGTGAACCGGAGAGTAACCGTGAGACATATTGCAGACGAAGTATCCATCAGTGTCGTAGTGTTGAGAAAATCATCCACGAGCACTTACTGTTTCGCAAGATGTGTGCCAGATGAATTCCCTGACAGCTGACATGTGATCAGAAATGGGTACGCAAGGAAACATGTGAGCAGCTTCTGAATCGGTTTCGTAATGAAAGTGATTAGCTCCCAGCGATTTTCATTTGTTTGGGCACTTTAAAGAGCTTTTGAGAGGAACGAAATTTCAGACAGATGATGAACTGCAGCAAATTGTCCTGTGCTGGCTACGACGTCTGCCCACTTCTTTCTACGAGAAAGGTATTAGAGACCTACCCCACCGCTAGGAACAGTGTCTACATACAGATGGGGAGAGTATTTCGAAAAGTTGTAGTTTATACATGTTTTGGACATTCTTTTTGGTCTGTAGAAATAAAAGTCTCGTTTAAGCTTGAACGACCCTTGTAGTTTTTTTTCTAATTTTGAAAGTAAATAACAAGACATTTCTTTCTTTAAATTAATGGTGTAGTTTCTCTTGCACTTACTGGCATGTTTTCTTTGTCTATTTTTGATGGGAAAAACTCAGCACTTCTTCCATTTCCCACAATTGTTAGCTCCTTATTACCTCTTAGAAGCATTTCAATTTCACCAGTGTAGTTCATAACATGACAAAAGTCAAAATGTAGTTTTTCATTGTAAATATTTTCAGAACTTGAAACCAAAATTTTCGCAAACTATAACTATAATAAAAACACTAAAACACTACTTATTTTCTGCAAAAGAAAAAAACACACCGAAAAAAAATCAACAACGTACTATGGTACGGATCAGGCTGACCTGAGTACACTATAAATAATCCTATGGCCGAGAGTAAAGCTCTTCAAGACCTGGCTCGTCCTTAGATTATTAAAATATTGTTATCTTGAGGGTTACCACTTTAAACTCTGACCTTATACTACGTTCGCACACAATCCACGACTCACTTCGATCTCGATTTACCTACAATCTGGATTGTGACTGTCGCTAGTCGAACGTCGTGCTGTTCGCACAGGCAGTCCGCTCGAGAAGAACCTGGCTATTACACGCGATCATAAAACTGACGTAATTACGCGGTAAGTCACAAACACCAACAAACAAAATGGAAGTTTTGGTTAGAAATAAATACTTTTTCTTGCCATACATCTAATAATAGACAGATGTGGTCCTCTCTCCAGATGTCTTTTTTATTTCTCTGTCGATAGCCCGACACGTGTTCCGCAGCCATCTTGTATTTTCTCGAGCGCGTGGGATTGTGGGATCTCTCTTATAACTGGATCTAGTTTCGAGAACTCTCTCCAGTCGATCGCGATTGAACCTCGTTTCAGTCGAGATTGAAACGGTCGAGAGCGTTCGCACCATGGAATAGGCTCCGACTAGGGTTTCTTTCCCGGGATTCTCGCCGTTTTATTCCCTACGAGAAAAATCCCGGGAAATTTTATTTTCCCGGGAAATCTCTCATTTCAATAATAATTTACCATGTCATGTTTTCTTTCTATTTTTTATTATACGAAAAGTTGCATCTTGAAGACTCACCTAAGAGAAATTTTGAGGTTTCTTGCTGCATATTATTACCTATGTTTTACAAGTCTCTACTTGTTAGTTCATGTAATATCTATGTATTGTGTTTGCGCATCATTGAACAGCGGAGACTTGCTGAAAGTAAATATCACTCATCGCACTTTAGTTTATTTTTTATTTCATCTTTAGAAGTAAAATAGTATTTTTTTTTCGTAATCATTAAAACTCCCAATGAAACGCTTTATTTTACTTTCATCTTATAATGTAGGAGAACATAAATTAATTGAGCCTAACGTGTCCGTATGGGTGAGATTGGCCCTACACTTTTAGTTACTTACTAGAAAATAAATTAAATTATTCAAATTTATGATATTCCTGTATGATCTTTTTTATTCATATAAAATTCTATTTTACTATCTCATCCCGGGATCCCGGGAAAAGAAATTATTTTTTCCGTAATCCCGCTGGAGGCAAATTTCCCGGGAAATGAGAAATCCTAGCTCCGACCTTAGTCACAATCTAGATCGAAATGCTCGGTGCGAACGGGGTATTACCCTCTTTATAATGATTAAATAAAATCTAGAAAATAGTAAATTCAAGATGAAACAATCTAGAATTATATCACTTATCTAATTTCCTAAATTTCAAATCTTGAGGCAAACAAAACAATTTAGATTTAGGCGAGAAAAATAGATTCTAAAATGACAACCTTATTCAACACGTGGTATAGACTTCAATGTTTTGACTGAAAGTAAAATGGCGGTCGATAGTACCCGTCGTCACCAACAGCGCTGTAACCATGGTCACAGCCACTCTGTGTAGTATATTCTAGCTAGTTGGTTCCAACAGTTGCCGAAGTTGTGGAAGGCCCGATGCATTTTTGTATATGACTAGGATTGGTTGTCCCATCAAAATTAATACGGATAATTTTGTCTCTACGGTGTAATCAAGCGGAACCGTGTGACAATTCTGTTATCGCTCACTAGATTGTGTGAGAGGACCTTGCCGTTTTCAGTTAGGACTGGTCAATCTTAATTGTTGCCAAACGTAAAGATATATCTACGCATAGAATTATATATATAAGAGCCCATTATAATGACATTTACAATATAACTGTTAGGACAAAATGAGCTCCAGTGCCTTTTACGCATTGGAGCTCATTTCATGCATTTCTCGTAGTCCTAAAAACCCGGGAGCACAAATAATAATCACTTCTATAACTTCTACTTGTTCATAATGCAAAACTGCTGAAATATAATACAGTAGAGCGTCGATTTTCCGAAAGTCAATCATCCGAAAGAATTCCAGTCGGCAAATTTAAATTTTCGCCAGTGCTGTGGCGCTTCAATCTTTGTCTATGTCTTGGGCTACTCAAATATTTTACGTTTTTGATACTAAATTAACATCTGAAGTATAATTTTTTATTGTTTTTATATTTTTCAATATATTTATTTTGTTTGTACAAAATAAAAAAATAATTTTTTACGATACAATAGTCTTCGTTAGGCTTAACATCGACGAAAATTCAACGCAAAGCGACACGCAACGGAGAAGAATTTCGACATCGGATACGTTAAACTATTTTTTCGTACATAAATCGGTTATCCGAAATATCAGTTATACGAACAACCCCAGTCCCCAATTGATTCGGAAAATTGACGCTCTACTGTATATCGGTTTTCCTGAAAATAAATTCTGTCTTGTGTACACACCTACAGATGACGCGACTATTTTGCCTTTCAATCGTTGTTAGTTAGAAAAATAATGACAAAATGTTTCAACAATTTTTCAACTGTGTACACACATTCTTAACAAGGAAATTATAAAAAATCAGCTCAAATTACTTAACGATTACGATTTTATCAACATTATTCTTAGCTGTCTCCAATGAGTTTATTCCAACTACAGGCACTCTTAAACCTACCAATAAATTTTAGTAAGTAATTTTATTTTATTATAAATAAGATTTTAAGCTATCCGAGTATGATTTATTTTACCGTCTGCTAAAGTATTCTCATCCAATGGCTGAACATGAACTGGTTTTCCGGCTTTAAGTGCAGCAGAAAAACTGGGACAGTTTTCGGATTCAACGGCCTGTTATTGAAAATAAATAAAACTTACATGCATGCATATCTTTCGTGATTTTATGTTGAAAATCGGTTCTATTTACAATTATTTGACACTTGGGATTATGATGCTTCATAACAACACTAATTCCCGCAACGAGACTGCCGCCTCCAACAGGAACAATCACAGCATCCGCATCGGGAACATCTTTTAAAATCTCCAGACCTGCGGTTCCTTGACCAGCGATGATTTTCGGATGATCGTAACTTAAATAGAAAAATGTCTTATGTTTATCATATTTATTTCATTAATAAAATAAAACTTATTGATATTTTTATTACCCGCTAACATAAATCATGTTTTTTGTCTTGGCTAACTGTAATCCATGTGTTTTTGCCTATAAAATAAATAATAATCAATCTGCTATTGTTAATTCAAACAACGAAAATCATTAAAATGTATCATTACTTCTAAAAGATTATCTCCTTTCAATATTACTGTAGCGCTGTATTTTTTACATTGATTAATTTTGTTCAATGCAGTATTGGTGGGCATCACTACCACTATCGGAATGTTCATTGAATAACCGTAGAAACACAGGGCCGATGAATGATTTCCAGCAGATGCAGCTATTAAACCTTTCTTCCGTTCTTCCTGTAATGAATTAATCGAGAATCGGAAAGCTCGTCAGTTTATTTTTATCAAAAGTTAAAACTAGAATTCATATTAGATTAGGACGATGGCTGAAGTAATGCAAGACATGGGCGATCTGCCGAACGAGAGGTGACGACTCTATGGGGGAAACTGATCCCATTTGTGTGTTAAACATGTGAAGAAAACCCGGAAAACGAACCCTGCTACCAACTACTAGTGTTCGATGGTGGCCCAGAATTAGTATTTTACCTCAGTAAGAGTCTTCAATAAATAGTAGACGCCTCGCTCTTTGAAGCTGAAAAAATACATAAATACAGTATGTCTTTTTCGATCATTCAAATATATTTACTATTCGGTATTAATCATTTAATTTTTGCTTATTTAATAATAAATAACATTAGCCTACATATGATTACCTTCCCGTTGTTTGTAAAAATTCCTTTTTGAAATATATCTCGCAATTTGTTATTGAAGACATATTGGATTTCTAATACAAAAATTTGATATAATTTAGATATATATTTATGAATTTTACACAATATAATAAATAATGTATAATAAATTTCAATCATTAAACATATTGCAATCAATCCAAACTATTAATAAAATATATGCAACAATTTAAAATAAAGGATGTTTTACTTTAATATGCATATCATTTTAATTTTATGTTCAATCTATATTAACCCTCTCGACTTCGCCGGCCTACATATATGGCTTTACAACAACCGGTTTAGAAAGTTGAAAACCTTCACCGGTGTACATATAGGCCGGCGTTTTCACTTTTATATTTCTCTAGAACTATATATCCTAGACATAAACAGAATATGCCATCGTCTTCTTTTGTTTATATTTTACATAGTTATTTGTTATTCGTTTTTTATTTTTAAATAAATTCGTCATTTTCGATTTTTTAAATAAACACACTACTTAGATGGAAGTGTTTCACCTTCAGTATTGATTTAAATTTTTTTTTTCTTTCTGTTTCTTTAATTTTTTTGCTAATTTTTGTGATATTACAAATTTAATTAGCTTATTACATATTTATATTATACTTTTCGTGATTATTGATAATTATAATTTTTTATTAACGCCTGTTTCAACGGGTGTATCTTTACGCCAGTGTTTTAAATTTTATTTTTTTTGAAAACTATATTTTCTAGACATAAGCAGAATATGCCNTATGAAGTTTAAATGATTTTACTGCGATTTGATCGAACATGATTTTACAAGTCATTAATGTAAACAACAAAAACGAATTTTTTTCGAAAAAAGTAAAAACTACAAGCGGATAAAAAATATACCAAACAAAACTACTAATCCTTGCATATTAACAATATTTTTTTTATATTTCTATCATAAAAATTTGATTTTATACGAATTTTTAAAATTATATAAGTATATTGGCCCAAATGACCTTCAACCTGCTATGAGTTCTACTGTCAAGTTGTATAGCAACTACCTGGCCGCTACCTGAAAACGTAAGGGTTAATGTATTATTTTAAAATATTTGTAATAAATAAATACTATTTACCGTGCAAGGAGTCCATATTATAGTATTTTTTATATAATCGAATGCCTTTCTTACATCCTTTATATCGATGATTACAGGATGATTCGGATCGCAAGCAGGATCTGCAATCTCAAAAGACGACGAACTACAACTTTTGGGTCCTTGGTGTTCTTCGGTGTTTTCAGCACTGTTCTTGCTTTTAACTGTTACCGATCTGTAAATATCGGGTGATCCTAATTAATATAATTCTGTAGTCCAAATGCAACCAAATTTCATATGACATTTCAGAATATGTGGAAGAAATTTACATTAAAAAAATGAATACCAGACCTCATCACTATGACACATTTTGCGCTGCAAACAAACATTTTATTTGTTCAAGACAATCATGCTATACAGAAATCTTAAGATCGGGCAAACTAGACAATATCAAAACAAACTGGTCGAAGCAATTTAATTCGATCATCACCCGCTTGATGGCCATTGATTGCCAGTCATTGACTCAACGTCACTCTACGTCATACTCTTTGATGGAAGCAGCCGAAGCTAACATCAACTATAAACGGGTCGTCATTTTACAAAACAAACTACTGAGCAATAAGTTTGTAGAGGAGTAGACGAAATGCTCATTGGTTTTATAGAACTACGTCACGAGTAATATCACAGGTGAATTTGTCCGATAGTCGAAGCAGACTAGTCACGTAGCCATAAAATTTGCCTCTGACATGTAAAATTCTTGGGGGTCATTTTTTTTTGACCGATCATCATACTTGCCTTCTTATTAGTGATGTAACGAATATTCGGTTACTATTCGGTATTCGGCCTATTCGGCCTATTTTTCACTATTCGGCCGAATACCGAATACTTAAAAACAGGATAAATAAATAACAAAAACACAGTAAATTAATCATTTTGATATTTAGATTTAATGTTATCGAGTTAGTGTTGTTTGTTTATATTTATTTATAACTTGTAACATGCACAAAATAAAAAAGAAAATAATATTAGTCACATGTATTCACAATTTATAATTACAAATATCAGCACACGTACACGTCTATCGTTGGAGAATCCTCGCACATCTGAGGATCTGACCCTGCCTATCCTTCTTTTTAAGCGCTCGTCTTTGCTCTTCCCTTTCTCTTTCCTCTATCGCTCTAATCCA